ACAGTATTTCTCGTTGCAATAATTATTCGAGATATCTTAGTTTGATTTGTTCATTTGTATAATATTTTGCATAACATATTGAAAATTGAGCAAGCTTTGTGTGTGCTCGATTGCAATGTTGTTTTTCAATTTATATTTGAAAAGAATAAGCATCTATAATTACTTTATCTCCTTTGCACAATCATACAGTTTTCCTATTCTGTTATGAGGTCATGGAGTCTTGAAAGCAGTCTCTCTGTTAGTTGCGTAACCTTTATCTTCCCGACCCTGATTTCATAATAGTGTAGCATGTTATCGATACTGCACGTTTATGTATGTTATGGACTTCGTAGTTTTATTTGTAGTCTTTTACTTATGTACCAAGTCGTAGCTCTGAAGTTATGAAAAAGAAAAGAGTATATGTTGAATATTAATGCGAATTTGGAGTACTATAAAGTATCTTCTTTTCTTTCTTTGCAGTTTTATCATCAGTTTCAGGGCTTCAAGTTGCTGAAACGAAACTAAATGAGGGTTAGTCGCTGTACTGACCTCTATTCTTTGTAAATGCTGCTGATCTTGTTTGATTTATTCGTTAGGGGCATTCTTAGTTATGCAGCTCATGTTGGAGCATCCAAAAAAACCTATGCTTGATCTCTTTGTCTTTTTTTACAATTTTGTGGAGTATATTTCTTCCTAATTTTCAACATCTGTTGTTGTAGGTGTACTTATGTTGCTTGCCTCTGTAATTTTGGTGGGCCTGTTTGCTCTTCAACACTGTGGTACCCACAAGGTGGCATTTTTGTTTGCTCCAATTGTCTTAATTTGGCTATTCTCAATATTCGGAATTGGTCTGTACAACACAGTATATTGGAACCCAAAAATAGTTCATGCATTTTCTCCACATTATATCATCAAGTACTTCAAGGAAACTGGAAAAGATGGCTGGATTTCTCTTGGAGGAATACTTCTTTGCACAACAGGTATGTGGGGCGGTATAATTTTCTTTTTGCTGTTTTGTTGAATCTCTGTATTGACTGTATAGGACTCGAATCATCTTTTATTTTTCTTCTTTTGTTTTTTTAATTAATTTTTTTTTATGTTATTCTTTTTTTGGTTCCATGTAAGGGTTTATGTGAAAGCTTTGCAGGTTTCCTGCTCTAATGCTTAACCCCCTCTTAAATTATGAAAAAGAGAAGAGAGACAAGAAAAAAAGGAAGAAGTTGTTGAAGAAGAGGCATTACTGCACTTACTTCTTTGTTTTATTAAGAAAGGAGTATAATCTCTTAACAGCTAGCATTATGTTTGTAGATGCGTGAATGTTGATGTCAGTTCTCCCAGAAGCAGGACTTTTTCCACATTCTATCTTAGAGAAGTTGGTTAATTTCTTGAACTTTGATGGAATTTCTGGTTTTTCTTCTTGGATGTATACAGATACTATTTCATATACTTCCTATGTTTTCTTTTATTTGCAACACAACCTTTGGACATGCTTTTTCAGGAGTCAATTAAAGTAGGTAAATAAGCAAATTTATTAAAATTATTCCAACACCCGGAATAGAGAAGGGTTAATTACTACGTTTATAAATTATTTTGATTGATTTGTCCGTTACATTACCTAATATTTCCCTCAAAGTGCGTGCCATGAAGGTGTGTTGCAAATAGAAGAAAATGGAGGAAGTATATGCTTGATCAATCTAAGAGACATTGAATTTTTTCCTTTGTGACAAGGTTATTGATATTTAGGAGTGATAACATTAGCCAAAAGAGATGTAGATTTTGGGGAGATTTTTGAGCTTGACATGTGTAAAATTTTTCCTCGCATTTCTCTAAAATAAACAAGGGTCTGACAACCATTAATACTACTCCAAGGGGTAATAGATTCCTATAGGGCTATAGCTACACAATTAAATGGTCTTTCTTGGACAGAAGGAATATTGGCATATTTTGTTGATGCTTTTTATGTTCTTCAAGTTTTGTTACGTTTTGTATTTTTGTTAGTTTGTATTTTTTTTTTTCCTTTTCCATGTATGTATTTAGGCTAATTTTCCTTCAATAAGCACCTGGAAACAAGTGGAAAATGGAGAACAGAAAGGGAACCTAATGCAATTTGCTGTTTGTGTTTGATCTTTTGGGGTCCATTTTTATTGACAGCTATGCTTTGGGTTGTTGCAGGTACAGAAGCTATGTTTGCAGATATTGGTCACTTTACAGCCTTCTCCATAAAGGTATGTTATCGTAGGTCATGTTGTCTAGAAGTTGCATCCATAAGACTGTCCTTTTCAGTTTAGGACTAGGTTTCAAGACCCAACACAATCGCCCAATCTAGATACCTAGGAACCAAAGCACGGTTGACACTTGACAGAATAAGCGAATAAAATGAATGGAACAATGAATTTTCAGTCCTCTGGGAACATACCATTTTCTTATCTATGGGATTGAGCTATTGACATCTAGTTATCTGGGTGAACCACATTTTATCTCTGCATCCGTTCAACATTTCCGTATTGCTACTTTACATGTAAGTGACCTAATCCAGTATTGCTATTTTGCAGCTCGTTTTCGCATGTGTCATATATCCTTGTCTTGTGGTTCAGTACATGGGTCAGGCTGCATATCTGTCTATGAACACCACCCATATTGATCACTGTTTCTATGATTCTATACCTAGTAAGCTTTCCTATTGCCACTAAACTTGGTTTGTTTTACCTCTGTACCACTGCTAAATTACTGCTTGGAAATTCATTACCTGGTCATCTTGTCAAACAGATTCTGTATTTTGGCCCGTGTTTGTTATTGCGACTCTTGCCGCAATTGTTGGAAGTCAGGCTGTCATCACTGCAACATTCTCCATTGTCAAACAATGTCATTCTCTAGGATGCTTCCCAAGAGTGAAAGTTGTTCATACATCAAAACATATATATGGCCAAATATACATTCCCGAAATAAACTGGATTCTCATGATCCTTACTCTTGCTGTAACTATTGGCTTTCGTGATACTACATTGATTGGTAATGCATACGGTAAGCTCATTCAACTTGCCTCCTGTTTGTGGCTTCAGTGCTCTATGTATGTGCAATTGTGTATGGATCAATATTTGATATTGAGTTACTGCTGTCAAATTAGTTTAGACTTGATGTCCATAGTAGTAAGTGTTTAGGGGGATATTTCCGTTCCATAAAAAATGTATAAAATTTCATATTGGTTTGTTGTCTGTTGATAACATGCTCAAGTGTTAGAGGGAATCTGGTGAAAGTTTTTTTTTGTTCATTTTCCTACAACTCTGCATGTTAAGAAATTTAAAGTGGGCGGTCAGTGCTACTGCTTTGATCAGTTGGAGTGAATTTTGACTAGACTTTCACATTTCTTAGCCAATAATAGTGATGATTTTCTTGTACCTGGTGAATTTGGCTTGAACAGTGTTCGGCGCAGTTTGTATGAAATTACTATAAATACTTATTGACTTATTTCCTACTATGGGATAGTATATAAATAATCATAGAGAGTAGTTTTTATAAGTTAAAGATTTCTGACTTTTTAGGTGCATTGTAATAAGTCCTCGTTTGGACTTTGGCTGTATCATCCTAACTCCTAGTTTCTTGTATCCAGGTCTTGCTTGCATATCAGTCATGCTCATCACAACTTGCCTTATGGCACTTGTTTTGACCTTTGTGTGGCAACGAGGAGCTTTTGCTATTCCGTTTCTTCTGTTTTTTGGTTTTATCGAGGCTGTGTATTTGTCTTCAGCATTTATCAAAGTACCACAAGGGGGTTGGGTTCCCATAATGTTATCTCTTGTAATCGTGCTTGTGATGTATGTCTGGCACTATGGAACCCGCAAGAAGTACAATTTTGACCTTCATAACAAGGTCTCATTGAAATGGATACTTGGCCTGGGTCCCAGTCTTGGTATAGTACGTGTACCTGGCATTGGTTTGATTTACTCTGAACTTGCAGTGGGAGTTCCTGCTATCTTCTCTCACTTTGTGACTAATCTACCTGCCTTTCACAAGGTCTTGGTTTTTGTTTGTGTTAAGTCAGTGCCGGTCCCATATGTTTCTCCAGAAGAGCGTTTTCTCATTGGCCGCATATGTCCTAGACCATATCGCATGTATCGCTGTATAGTTCGATATGGATACAAGGATATTCCTCGAGATGACGGGGAGTTTGAGGACTTGCTTATCAAAAGCATTGCAGAATTCATTCAGATGGAAGCTGTGGAGCCTCAGTTTTCTGGCTCCGACAGTTCCTCCATTGATGGTAGGATGGCTGTGATAAGCACTCGAACTGTTCAATCAAACTCAAGCTTAGTTGTATCCGAGCATGATGATCAGGATATCAATGAAATTACTCATAGTAGCAGGTCTCTGACACTTCAGAGTTTAAGATATGTGTACGATGACGAGAGTGTTCAGCAGATCAGGAGGCGTCATGTGAGATTTCAGCTGCCACAAAATCCTGCAATGGATCCGGATGTTAGAGAAGAGCTTTTGGACTTGATTGAGGCAAAGGAGGCTGGGGTTGCATACGTTATGGGGCATTCCTATGTTAAGGCTCGAAGGTCCTCTTCTTTCTTGAAAAAGCTTGGTATTGATATTGGATATTCGTTTCTCAGGAAGAATTGTCGTGGTCCTTCTGTCGCTCTCAACATACCTCACATAAGCCTCATTGAAGTTGGGATGATATACTATGTCTAGCATTATATTTTATTGAGAAAATTGCTGTAAAGTAATGCATTTTTCCTGAACAGTGATTAGAGGTTGGGAGGGGCAAAGAAGGAAAACAGTGATTAGAGGTTGGGTGGGGGAAAGGGTGTACAGATCAATAAAAAATATTTTTAACAAAGTTTTGTAGGTATTTTGTTATTCGATCAAGATTACATATCTTTTTTTTTTTTTTTTTTTTTTTTTTTTTGATGCAAATCAAGAATACCTATCTTAATATACTGCTTTTGTGTTTGTTTTAGAATTCTTTAGTTTCACTGCTATAATTGTTGTTGTTGGTCTTTTTTTTTTTTTTTTTTTTTTTTTTTTTTTTTCCCATGAGCAACAATTATAGTTGGGCACTATTGTAGATCTTTATAAGTTGGCTGGATGGGTCAATGTGTTGGGACATCTAGTTTTGCAATCAAGGCCTGTATCGGATCATTCGGGTCAATTTAGTCGTGTATGTTTGACTAGTATGTATGTAAACACGGTTATTCTGAAGAAAGACCAACATTTTGATTATCAGTTCAGGTAATCTGGTTGACGAACAAATAATCAAGTATATGTCCCAAAGGAGTTCAAACCGAGATTTGGGATTGAAACCAGTGTCAACATTTTCTACCTATGCACCAAAAAAAGAATAAGAAAAAAAGGGAAAAAAAATAGATGTCTTATTCAGTGGCTTAATCTCCTCACAGCAACAGTAATCAAATAACTAGGCACCTTATGAGGTAAGCAACCTTATGAAAACAGGGGGTTGTTGAGCAGCTAAATCTGCATTTTGAATATTCGGTCTTTAGCTTTACCTCCAAAATGGAACACAAATTTTTCCTCTATTTTAATGATGTCAACCCTTACCTGTTACATCTTGTTAACCAGTAAATTACTCAAAATAATCGATAAAAGTTTGATCAACAACCTTAAACATACTACACTCAATATATACATTCATCTCGACACAGCTTTTTCACAACAGATCACATACTTGCGAAGTATTAAGTAAACTTTCTTTTTACAAAGGCGGAAAACTCATCAATCAAGAATGGAACATAAAGCTAGCCCTTTGGTTTTTCTAGTAGTACTAGTGATCCTGGCTAGTAATATTCCATCATTGACAGCTCAAGGTGGATCGTCGTGTGTAAACAGCCTAACCCCTTGCATGAACTACTTGAACAGCACTCGTGGTCCACCCAGGTCTTGCTGTGACCCTTTGAAAGAAGTTATTCAGACTAACCAACAGTGCTTGTGCAGTATGATAAGTACCCAAGGTACTTTCCAAGCTCAGCTCCTAGGCATTAATATATCTCAGGTTGAGATGTTACCCGAAAGATGTGGGCTTCGTGTTAACCCGATTGCCTGCCTTAAAGGTACTTCTAAATCCTCCTCACTATACTTATGATGTTATTTTCATATGATGTTCCTTTTTTATGTTGTGATTTTGATAGTTTTTATCTATTAATAACCTTTTTGCGGTTTTCCAAAATAAATTTTACTTGAAAAATAATTATTGTAGTTGATTTATTACCTTTTTTCTAGTCCGGAATTATATGTGTTTATTACTCAGTACCAAGTATTGATAATTCCTGTATAAACTGGGAAGTGAGTTCAAATGTATTGATATATGATGTGTTATTTTTGGGTGTTTTTATAGGTGTATCAGGCTCAAGAAACTCTGTTCAAAACTCTGCAATTAACTCATTCCCATCTTTTATACCGGTAATTTTAGGAGTGTTATTGATGATAATTGTAATTTAGATCAAATATTTATTTATTCTATGTATGACATTGTGAAAAGTTTGTACGTACACACTGATTCGAAGTATATTGTATTCAGCTACTTATTTTCTGGTCCAAATTTGTTAACTTTGATGTTTTTTTTTTCTTTTTTTTTTCTATATTGTAACATTATTATTGTTACGTAGTATATTGTTTTGGATATTGTAGTGTTATCATTGTTATATTGCTTTGGATATTGTAATGTTATCATAATTAAACGCATTTGGATGTTGATAAACTATTTTTTTCATAAATTTACAATAGTGTGAAGTAGTTAAACAATTAACAAAAACTTTTGTATGCCCCTGGTTGACAATAATTTTGTTGTATATCTAACATTTTGCGAAAAGTGACCCTTTTTTTTTTTTGTACAAAAGTGACCATTTTTCTTTTACAAAAGTGACCCATATTTCACAAAAGTAACCCTTTTTTTCACAAAAGCGACTTTTTTTTCACAAAACTGACCTTTTTTGTTTACAAAAGTAATTAAGTTACATATGCAAAACAGAGTACTTCGTATCAAAATCAACAAAAATAAACACAAAATTAGCAATAGTCATGAAAAAACACTACAATCCCACTCAAACAAATCAATTATAGAGATCACCTTCAGTTCCATGCATTGTCATCATCAATCAACTCACATTCATCTCCACTAAATCAAATTCAAACTTTTCATTCTTCCAAATTTTCAGCAAAAATCAATCAAATTCAATAAATTTCACAAAGATCTTCAAATTTAGCAAATAATTTATCATTTTCAAAAAAAAAAAAAAAAAAAAAATAAATAATATTGCTATACCTAGACGATGGAGTAGATGTGGAATCGTCGCCATTATCGTCGGAAGAAGAAGATGTAGAAAGATTAATTAAGACGTTTGTTGGTTGCCATTGCAGATATTATAGCATTATAGAGAGAGAAAGAGAGGGAAATAGAGCGGAATGAACGGAAGATGAATAAAGTTTTTAGTGCGAGCAAGCCGATTTACAATAATGATATTGTACATCGGATTTTAATAAATTTTTGTGAACAATTAATTAGTGGTTTCAACACTCGGGTGTTCTATGCACATTATGGTAAACTCGGGTAAAAAAAAAAATTTGATTTAGTTCTCTAAGCTTTTCATTTCAAAGAAATTAGTGAGTAGATTTGTAGCTAGGGGTGTGGTGAATCCTAATAATTAATTTAAAATAAATTGGGATAAAATTGATAATGATTGTATTATTAATTGGCGGTGGTTTATTCTCTAGCATGAATAGGATATTAAACAACCAATGGTTGTTAGTGTCATGGCTTGTTGATTATACCATGAGAATGTGGACTAGAATTAGCATATTTGACTGCAATTGGGTTCAATATCTGTTGGAATTTCAGGTGTTGTTTGGTTGATGTGGGAATTTAATTTCCATAGGAATTTATAATTCATGGGAAGCTAATTCCTTAATAAAATTCCAAGGAATTTCTTATAAGAAAAATTGCCCGAAATAATCCGACCTTTGGCTCATTTGCCCAAAATAATCCCACCTTTCGATTATTTTGAAATAATCCGACTTTTACTGTCAATCCGCTTTAAATGGTCCTAATCGGTTACCTAACTTGTTATAACAATTTAGATGACATGTGTCGGCCTATGATTGGCCAAAAAAAGTTAAAAATTAAGTTAAATATTCTTAAAGAAAAAAGTTTTAAAAAATTAATTATTGAAAAAACCATCAGCCACCTCTGCCCATCCCCGCCGGCCAATCTGCCTATCTCCCCACCCGCCGCAGATCCGGCCGTCGGTGATCCCTTCCCCAACGCCGTCGCCCTCTAACCCCCGGCGTCGTCGCTCTTTCCCTCGAACCACCAATCCCTTCCCTCTCCCACGAAATCCTACTTAAATTACTCCCACCGTCGAAATCCCCTTTCCCATCCCGATCTCGGCCCCCCTTCTTCCCCAATCCTGATACCGGTTTCCCTCCCCTTCCTTCGCCTCTAGTTCATCCTTTCTCACCTTCCCCTGCCTCTAGTTCGTCCTCCCTCACCTTCCCCCACCTAGATTTCGGGTGTGAATTGTAGAGCGAACAAACCCACAATAGCGACGACGTTATGGTGGCTGGGGCTGCAAATCAACTATGGTGGTTGAGGCTGCAATTCGACGGCAGTGGCTAGCTCTTCAATTTGCCAGTGGCTGGGCTGCAATTTGGCGGTGGTTGGGGTTGCAATTACTGGTGGCCGGGGAAGTTTGTTTATTTTTTTTAATTCAATTGTTTTAATTTAAGATTTTAGACAAATCATAGAGTGACACTTTGTAGTTTCAACAAAAAAAAAAGGAAAATTTGTTAAGTATAAGCAAAGCTTTGCTCGGTCTTCCCAAAATAAGCAAACATTTTGATTAACCCAGAGTAAGTTGACCTTTATAGGGTATTTTCTCTAAATAAGTCATGACCGGTTTCTTTTAAGTGTAACCAGTTGTTTGAATTGCTTATGCCACATGTCATTGTGTAGTTCGCCAATTTTTAAAAATTTAATTAAATTTATTATTTTAATTAATTTTTGAAATAAAAAAAATAATTAAAAAAAAACATTTTTTCAAGATAAAAATAAACCCTTAATTTTTAGATACCCCCCACTACTAAAGCTAGCACCCCTCTTTGCCCTTATCCCGTCGACCATCGTCGAACCACCCAGAGCATGAAATACCTCCACCTCCCATCCCCACTACGATATCACCATCCCTCCTACCTCCACCCTCAAAATCCCCGCCGAATCTACTATCCTTTGCTTTTCCCATCACCAAAAATTGCATCACATCTCCATAATCGAAGTCACAAATTTGCATAACAACAACAACGAGGTGGGTGTTGGGTTTCGAGGTAGGTTTGGTTGGGTTTCAAGGTCAATATGGTAATATTACGGTGGTTAGGGTGGGGAATCGAGGTATGTGGTGGTTTCCAGATGGGTAACTATAAAATGGAGTTTCGAGGTAGGGCAGTTCAGGTGGGTTTCAAGCTTTCTGCACGGGTTAGGATGGCTCGCCGGCGCTCAAGGAGGGTGTAGGGAATATTTCAAGTATCCCACACTTGAGCCCCACTGTGATCATACTTTTAAGCATGATGGCGTCCAAAGGGAAGGAAGCTAGAGTAAAAGAGTCGCCAACAAGTTTTAAGAACTTGTAAACCGTTCACAGGGTGAAGGTTACACCCCTTAACGATCCAGGAGATCGTTAACTCCAATAGGTCTGGAACCATGACTGGAAGTTTGGGGATGAAGGTACAACTCCAACCTAAAAGAGATTGAACTTGCCCTAATAATAGGCATCTACTTTATTCTTGTCGTATTCATGTGCGCTTTCTGACTAACATACAATCATTAGATTAACCCTAAACATGTTTAATCTATGTTGATTGAATATTAATGCACAAATAAACCTATTATTGGCGATCACTTGAATTATAATCATATTAGCCTAAACAAGATTATTAATTATCTTATTAAGCGTGATTACAAGTATAAATTCCCTTTAAACATTCATAAAAGGCGTGATCAAGAAACAACAATAATATATCAAGCAACATAATAATAATCATATTAAAACTTAATAATAATAGCAAAATCCTAGGCATGATACTAACAAGATTAATAACAAATCCTAACATGTCACTTAACAATAAAGATCAATTAGCCCTAATATGACACTAACATGATATTAGGAAAGAAATAGGAAGCAATATAATAATATACATGATAATAGAAATTTTAGTTATTACCCTAAACATGATACTAGGAAGCAATATAACATCCTAACATGATACTAGGAATCAACAAAATAATCTAAGCATGATTTCTATATCAAAAGATCAATAAAACAATTAAAGTATTTACTTTGATGCCTCGTGCCTCTTTCTAACAACAAAATACACACGTTAGTAACTTCAAGGGAAAAAAATAAAATACTAAAACAGTAAATCTAATCTAAGAATTGTAATAAGGTCTGAGACCAAACCCTCATAAATTATCGATCAACCTTTCAAGTCTAGGGCGAAGGCAACCTCGAACTTGGCTAGGTGTGTCTAGAGCTAATGTATGTGGAATTTTGTGAAAGGGAAGATTTAGAAAAAGAATAGAGAGATAAGGAAATCTTCTAGCTTTAGAGAGAGATGATGGTTGTGAATAATGATTGTGAATAATGTTTGTGAATGATGATTGTGAATGATTTAAAACGGGGAGATACGACCCTTATTTATAGGAAAAATAGCTCGGAATACGATAGAAAAGAGTTCGAGTCCCATTCGGAATAAAAGATCTCCTGTCGTCAACGACAAGAGTCAGCGCCAGACGACAGGAGCAGCGCCAAGCGACAGACCTATCGTTTGGCGCTGTGACAGTTTTTTGCGGATTTTGTTTTTATCATATCTTTTGATCCAAAAGTCCAAATAATTCATATAATATGTCATTGGAAAGCTCTTAAAATCTAATTTCCAACACAATTAAATTCATATTAAAATATTTTTTAGATGAAAAGATATGGCTGAAATAGTAGAAGGGTGTCAGATTTGGATAGAGTTTTGTATTCCATTCATATCTTTTACGTTATAGCTCGGAATTAATATTATTGGAAAGATAATTTCAAGATATATCCAAAAATATAAGATTTGGATAAATATTATGAGGCACAAAAATAATATTTGACTGTCTTTGAATATCTTTAAATTCGAATAGAATTAGGACTTAAAAAAAGAAAGTTTTATTCAGTTTCAAATTCTTTGATTTTATCTTTTCAAAAAGGATAATTAAGATCTTGTAGAAACTCATAGAAGCTTCTAATAAATCCTAATTAGTTTAGGAATAGGATTAAACCTTTGGACCCTCCACATGATCATTGGGCTGTAGGTAAAATCCGTTTTGAGCCCAGTTTAATATTTTGGCCATAACTTCCTCATTATTCATTGGAATTGGGCTTACAATATATTGTTGGAAAGGTATTTTCGAGACTAATCCAACTATACCATTATTGGACCATTATCATGGACTAAATTAAACTGGATTGGAAATTTTCATAAATAGAGTGCATTTTGAAAACAGAAAGAGAGATATTTTAATAAAAACATCCACATCTCTAGACCTTTCACACTTTTATTTCGTTCGATAATCAAATGACATGAAAGGTATTCATCACTGGGTTTGGTTTAAGGGAGACATGTTTGGGTGTCTACAGAGGGGAACAAAGGGGTCAGGGAATCGGGGAGGCCGGAGGGGGAGGTG